TAATATGATTTGATTAGATAGACAACTGACCCACTATGTGGAACCAGCTGCACACTGAAGTATTTCCGAACCAATTCGACTTAGGGACCCTAAGAAATGAGAAAAGAGCGTACCAATTCTTAAAAGGACGCCAGCGCGCTTGGGAGCGCTCAGGCAGTGCGAGTGTCCATGGGCGGCGGTATCATTTAACATCAGATGAGCCTCCTGCCCGTCTGCCTCTTGTAACTTAAAAAAAATGCCGAATATTTTCGTCTTATTAAGGTCCTTCAAGAAAAGAGGGTACCAATTCTTTAAAGACCGGAAACGCACTTGCGAGCCCTCTGGCAATGTAAGGACGGCGGTATCACGTAACATCATGTGAGCCTCCTGTCCGTGTGCCCCCTGTACTATAAAAAGATCGAACATACGTTTGATAAATTGTAGCAAAAATCTAAATCGTTAAAGAGTAGTTCCTTGCCATACAGTACACAAACCCGTCAAACTTTTAATCGAAATTACGGCTAAAATTAAAATACAAATAATTTTATTGTATTAGAGATGTAGTCTGTTTAAATGGTCGTATTCAATTTATTCATAAAGATGAAGATTGCGATGCTGGGCGTAATCAATTGCAAGATATCGCAAATGACAGCTGGTTCAACTTGTAACATCTTTTATCTTATACACTGTTCGTTACTTGAGCCAAAACGTTATAGAAAGACGTTATTCCTACTACTAACTAATATCCTCACAAATTAACTTAAAATAAGTTCGATAGGTTTGTGTACTGTACGACATAGTAGCTCCTTAACAAATATATTTTTTTTATACATGTGTCTTTAGTTCTTTACTAACGCCCGAACCCAAATAACCTGAGATAGTAATCTTAATCCAAATGTTGTAACAAGTGTGCCAATAACCAATTGACGGAGTGTAATAGCCTGTAGCCATCAATACAAGCTATCCATGGGAGGTCGTATCGGTGTCTGTGGAGACCTTTGTATGAAAATGACAGTTGACGAAAGCTCGATTTCCACAGTTAATTTTTTTAACAGATTTTAACTTACACCAGTTTTTTAAATAATTAAAAAAACTGTTTGTTATGTTTTAAACATACACTTGTATATTTTATTGTTATTTGTACGATTTTACTTACTTTATGTGGTTTACATTGATTATCAAATATGAGTGTAAACTCAGTAAAATGGAACGACAAAGAGCATTTTATCCATCGCCAAAAATGGATTGTGGTCGTAGGGTTTGGTTACTGAGATGTAGATAGGAGATCGATCGACTGTCACGGTCTGATCTCAGATTCTTTTCAATCTGAGATTGTGGATTAATTATTGGGTTCAGGTGAAGACATCATGGAACATAACGATCTAGCCTAACTTAAGACTAATAAGTAATTTAGGTCTAACCTAATTTATTTCAGATATTTGACGTATGCAAGTGTCCAATAACACTACATAAAGTCTCTAATAAATGGAAGACACTCTGTTCTTGTTCTATTTTTTCACTGTTTAGCACTTAAGACTAACGTGCACTAACACTAATTCACTAGTACAAATGGTTTTGCCCTTTTCAGTCAACTAGGCCCGTGGTGTCAAGGAGTTGAAACAAATAAATGCGATGTATCACTGTCAATCAAAAGTTATATTCAGTCGGAAGTGGGCAATGGCCGTATATCTGACCTTCAACGCAAAAACGACCTGGGAGACGGCGTCGCGAGTACGCACATACTACACCTTGGAACCTTGGGCAACTCGGAAGGTGGGCTCGCGGTAGCGCAGCAGTTTCTTGACTCGGATTAAGGGAAAATGTTAAAGAGTCTCCGGTCTGAGCAAATGGACCTGTTGGGTTTGGACCTACACTCCCCGCGTCATTTTAACAAGTTGCCCCGGCGCGGTGTAGTAAATTGATTTCCCAACAATAAAAATAATATATTTAATGCAAAACGTGTTTCACATACGGGAGTGATAAGCTAAGCCTCTCTGAATCTTAGATTAGATTAGGTTTAGGGGTTTATTAAATATTAAGATATTTTGTATCGTTTAACTCGATTACAAAGTTACTTTTTTTAATGTATCATTGCTTCATATATATTTTATTTAAACTAAAAGTACAGAGAAAAAAAACCAATGGCCATATTGCCTGACGGGCTACGCTACCACAGTAGAATTACTTGTAGTAAGTAGTTAAATTCCTTGTACAATAGACTCTAGAGAGTTAAAAAAATAAAAAAACAAAAAACGGAACGAAAATATTACAAAGAACAGAGAGAAAGAAACGTTTTCATACCTTTAGATTCAAGGTCAAGACTAAGAAAATTGATGACTAAAGAAATACTCTAATAGGATCTTCATAAATTATCGTTTAATGGATTTAATACACTTCCATTTACCGATTAATACAAATAAATAATTTAATACCTTTAATAAAACACTATTTTGACCGGATTGAAGTTATGTATTATTATAAATTTACAACTATTTAACATAATTTTAAATTTATCCGACGTTTCGCGTGCTTTACAGCGTGCGTGGTCACGGTGACGGTTTATAATATATGAGTGGATGAGAACTAAGAACCTAGCAACCCTACGGCTCCCTGTGCCCTACAGTTGTATTCTAATAATAGTATAGAGCAAATAAATTACACATACAATTTGATGAGTGTGATCCCAAATATTTTTAATCGGCCGATCGTCACATTTTTTGGTTAGACATTGTTGAGACTCGGGTTACTTTAGACGCGTTTTTATTTTGATATATACTTTTTGTTAATACATTTGTTAATAGTTCCGTCCTCAATTTAGAATCTTATAGTGAGGATTTGTGCGTTTTTGTGAACTATTGTGATTTGTGAGGCAAGGTATCAGCATCAGTCTAACTCTTTGTTCCCAAACTAATAGAATTTCTCCAACTCTTTACGGCTAACATTATTATGTGCCTTTCCTCTTGGTTAGGAGACATTATAACGAGGTATGTACTCAGGACTTATTATTCTAGTATAAGATTGTGTATCGTAGACCGTTCCTTGTGGTACATATTTTAATTAACTTTTAGACGGTGTACTTAAACTTGAGGTCGTGCATTCGAATCCTGGCTGGAATTTTCTATGTTCTCATATTTTCTCTCTACGATCAACCCCTATTTTTTATTATTAGTAGATAGTTATTTTTATTGAATTAAAAAATATTTCCTAAAAATAATATACATGGCAAAACAACGTTTACCAGGTCAGCGTGGTCAGCGGGTCCAAGATCTCTCTCTAGAAAACAAATTACGGGTTATCCATAGCTGTCCGTCGAATTCGGATGTCCGCTATACTTCGAAAGTAATTCACGGACGGATTTTTGCAACATCTATATGTTAATCGGATATCGAAAGCAGTACCGCAACTAAAAAATATGGACCTGTTTAGTCCAGATTATTGACCTTACAAACCTTTTTAGATATCTGGAATTTAGAAATTAAACAAATGACAGAATACGCACATATACGTTATCTGTTACGTAGGACGTAGAATACATGCACAATAGCACACATAGACAAATTGGCGTCGTCTCAACGAGTTTGCGTTTGTAGGTGTTACACGCGATGTTTAGAGAGCCACAGGCAGTGAGACTTTATTATCGTGATCTTTGTTTTTAATTAATTGACTGACTTTGGACAATCCTGCCTAGTTTAAGGCTAGTAACTAAAATATAGCCCAATTTACTAATAATAATATTTAGCAGTAAGAAGTTACAAGATAGAGAATTTATGAAACACTATATTTAATATTAGTGTTTAATATTTTATGCAAAATCATTTACTAAATCTCTCGAATTGTTCATTAAAATGCCACGTGTTTTTATTATCGAAGAAATAAATAAAAAAATATAATTTGTGTTCATTTCGACACTTAATATTTTAATGACAATTAAATTGATTAAATTCCTAACATATCTTACTTTTTCCCTCTCTGTAAGTCTCGGAAATCTAAAGTTTAAGATTTGTATAAATACTAGTGGACCCCACAGACGTTGTCCTGCATGATATTTAAAGCGATTAGGATATTAAGCAAAGTATGAAAGTACCGACTGCAGTGCCATCTGCCGGGCTGATTTGTGAATCTAAACCATTCCCAGATCCCCTTGAACACACACAAAAAATTTCATCAAAATCGGTCCAGTCGTTTGAGAGGAGTTCAGTCACATACACACGCACAGAAGAAATATATATATTAAGATGAACATATATGTATAAATATGAACAAGACTTAAAATTACTTTGCCAATGAAGTTTCACTTCTGACATGTGTCCTACTTTGTACGCACGCACTTTTTTTTTATATACTACTTATATTGATTCTCTAGTATCTCTGAATTGGTCCTGGTATTTGCGACACGGCCTACCAATCACCATCCACGGTTGTCTTGTCAAACCACATAAGCATTTCTTTTCGTACTGTCATTACGTCCTCCTTTATCTCACGCTGCTAAAAATGATAATAAGTAAAAAAAAGTTGAAGACATGTCGTTTAATATATATTTGTCGCATAACTTCATGTCTCATATCTCTGCCCCAAACAAATAGTTATTAGTTATATTAAACGCACCTAAAGTCTTTATGGCTGATTTTATTCAGTAATGTAAAACAAAATAGCCTATGTTAGAGGAAATATCTATAGTAGGTAAGTGTGAAAGTAGAACAAAAGTATGCAGTTAGAGAAAGTTCCAATTTGAAAAATTAATAATTATTACTTAATAAGAAATTTTAGAATACACTAAAAGTACATAATAAATTTACTAGGAGACGTGACGATATTTATAAGCTCACAATTCTTCTCTTCAAAAAACACGATTCGCAAATAAATTGCGAAGTGCATCGCGTTTCACTGTAATAAATGCATGACGGGAGACGTGTGGGGTGGGGCGGCGGAGGCAGCCGCACGGCAATCAGTTGCATCGTGACCGCGCGTCGCGTTGCGTGTGTCTTTATTCACACGTCGCGTATATCGCGTTACCACCAGCCATGGTCTCCGTGGGTGCGTGGAGGCGCCGCTCGCCTGACGATTGCGAGGAACGCTCTGAACCCGGCACCTCCAGTTCCGGAGTTCCCCGTGCGCCACCAAATTGCGCCAGGTGCCGGAACCATCGGCTCAAGATCGAGCTGAAGGGTCACAAACGCTACTGCAAATATCGCTACTGCAATTGTGAGAAATGCCGTTTGACTGCCGACAGACAGCGCGTTATGGCGCTCCAAACGGCTTTGAGACGTGCTCAGGCGCAGGACGAAGCTAGAGCGCGGGCTATAGAGACCGGCGGTCCACCGCCCGGGCTAGAATTGGATAGACCGGAGCCGCCTATAGTGAAAGCTCCGAGGAGCCCAGTGGTTCCCGCCCCGCGGTCTATAGGCTCGAGTAGTTCAGTGGGTTCGGTGCCGGGATCCCCGGGAGTGTCGCCGCACGTGCACGCGCCTGTTCCCCAAGTTCCTCCGCAGCCAACAATGCCACCGCTTCTCCCGCCACAGCAACCCGGTCAGTGCAATTTCTTTGATAAAGATAACGGCGATTGTCAGCTGTTTAATGTTTGCCTGCGTCTGGGGCACGTGTTTTGTGTTATTATCAATTGATTAATTAAAACAGCGATTATTGAAATATCGATGTACTTTGGATCTAAATCGGCGAAAATAAGTTTTAAAATGCAATAATGATAATAGAAAAGCACGTTGGCAAATGTGGTTATGAATTTCCGAAATAATTACACATTTAGAACACTTGACTATTTTCATGTTACCTGAACGATGAACCTAATTAATTACTCTGATCGACGACCAGAGAGTTCCTAGAACTCTACATTTGATTTGAATTCATATCATAATTAATTGAGGTCTATATTAATATCGTGTACTTCGTAACTATTTAAATGTTTCAATACGTAAACGTTTGAGTGAATCAACAGATTAATTTATTTTTATTTATTTATTTTTTTATTTATTTTTTTTTTTTTTTTTAATGTCCATTGTCAGTTATTTGAAATTGTTTATTATCGTACTTAACTTTTTAAACACAAACATTAATAATAAAAATAATTTATATCGATAATTTAAAAGGTTCAGGAAAACCGGCGTCTAATTTCTAACTTTATTTACATAGATTATGCAGGTATATTATTCTTATTATATTACTATTTTGATATCTAAAAACCGGAAGTATATTTCAAAAAGTATTTTAAAACATAAATTAGTTACGCCATAAAATAAGTACGATTTTACCGATATTATTTTGACAAACGCGTCCTCTAAGTCGCGTGTTTTATTTTAAACTTCGCGCTTTTAGTTTTTGCCACTTTTGGCAACTGAATACACTTAAACGCAATATTAAGTAAATTGTTGCTGTTATGACTTATGAGAGTAAAAATTGTTTAATCAGTGATGTGAAGTGACATATCATGCGATATCACCCTATAATTATTATTTATTTTATTATAATACTCGCCTTAATAATGCTTATAGCTAAACGATTTCTAGGCCGTATTTTTGTATATAATTAAATTACACCTCACATTTTTCGGATTGGCATTAGGAGTATCAGCGATTCACTCAAAGTAATGTTGTCTTTGTTTCTTTTATAAAAGATGTTTTATTCATACTTTCAAAAAAAAACGATACAACCTTGTATGTCTGGGCTTTAAATGTTTTATCTGTTTCGTAATATACTTTTTTAATAGGCAATTAGCTATCAGTCTCTACTTACTAGTCTACTGATACAAGTAGATTTTTGGGTCTAACGCCTTATTAACGGGTCTATAAGTATCCGGGGTTCAACTTCAGGGAGAGAGTCGCCCGCTCAAACCAAAAGGCCAACTCTTACTTCCGTAAAATATCTTTTAAATTGAATATTTTAAGATTGTGTTTCTAGGTATTTTTTGTTAAGTAAAAACAATTTAAATAAAGTTTATTGTAATAGGAGGCAAACGGGTAGGAAGCTCACTTGATGGTCAGAAGGCTCGCAAGTGCGTTGCCGGCCTTTTAAGAATGATTATAACAAGTTGATTTCCATAAAAATATCATACGGTAATTTTTGGTCAATTTATTGTTTTTTGTTTATTTGAATATTCTTCAGAATTTTCCGAGACATTAATAATTTTAAATTCCGGTTTAATGATTATGAAATTGATATAATTTATGCATTTTATACATGTGTTCTTGTAAATATGTGATTACTACTTCATTACGAATTCTAATCCGACGGCGCAATTGTGTAGACCTACTAACTATTTCTTTGAATTAGGCATTTTAATCAAGAATCCATCATACAAGAGTATGCACAAATTGTATATTAAACAAAATCCAAAAATATTGTTATCTATTTACGTAGGGATGTCGTAAAATTTTGTCTTCGCGAAAATATTTTAATCGACCGAATTTCTGTTAAATATATCGTAAGACTTTTCGATGCTTATGTACCTCGATGGGGGTGTGTAGGCTCGTTCAGGGCGTATGCCCCCTTCGGATGTTGGCTTGCGCCCTGCTAATACAGGGCGGTATTGGTGCGGGCATTTAGCCCTTGATGCACGCAGCCGCCTCGTAAGACTGTTACTATTTTGGCCATATATCAGATTTTCTATATCTTATCTAATGTAGACCTATGTAGACATTTGTTAACAAAGCATAAAATTATTTAAAACCAATTCACTTGTCTATATTCCATAAAATCGCCGCTATGACCCTTAATCTTGTCGCCAAACTGTTTTCCTTGATAATTTTTTCTTATTGAAGTCTTGAATTAATTTTGCGTCTCGTTAATTTAAAATAACATTTATTTGAATGACTCCAGTCCTGCCAGTTCTTATATCAAGGGCGGTGAACGGACGAGAACTGGCAAGTAACACGAAAACGATTTCAAAGACAAAACGCTGTTCATGCAGTTCAGGGCTTCGTTGGGGGATCTTCTTGAGCTTCTTGGGTTAATATTATACATGTCACAGCATTACCGTGCTACATATTCCATTATAACAAACTGATTGATATTTAGAACGTGAGGTACGAAGGCGAAACAGTTACACGATAAAGGTCTATACACCTTATATGTATTTCCACTAAAAAATCTTCTTTATTTATTTAAATAATAACGTCTTTTTCTCGAAGGGATAGGCAGAGACCACGGATCACCATGTATGCATGTTCGTCGGTTATGGGTACTTTTAACTTGTCTTTATTTTTTACATCAATTTATAATGTATGGAGGCAAGTTTTGTAGTTATGAACGTCCAATATGTCTTTAAATTGCCTGTCTTATAAATGCCGATAACTGGCAAGAAACTCTCCGCTACATCTTTTTATTGGCAAGTGCTTTTACTAGATGCTCGATTTAAAAACTATAAATTAAATTAAAGCGGCAATTGTAGAATTGTTAAGTGAAAATACAAAATTATATAACTAGAACCAAAACTACAAAAAGTTCAACGGAATTTCATTCCAGCTCCCAAAGTCCAGGTCCATTCTTTCACGTCTATTGCTTGTATGCATAGAATGATTTTATTTTACTTACTAGTGTTGCTTTGTGGCTAAGCGCTCTAACCCAACACCACCACAACGCTATGACTCCAGTACAACACAATTTTGACGTATTTAGTCAGACTTAAACTAAATCTTCTTTTTGCATCGTGAAACGTCGTAAAAAAACAATAGGTTTTTGTCCTGTCCAATGTACCTACGTAAAATAAAATGTTTTTCACCATTTATTGCTGCCTCTTCATTCATTCGATTATTGACTTAAATGTATGCATTTTTATCTTACGAACATTGTAGGATATCATGCGCTGATAAGCCCATGACCTATGTTTTCAATTACATAGTACATACATATCTTTTTGAGTCGCATAATTGAGAACACAGGGAGCGCACACATTTCTGCAACTAGTTTTTAAATTATTAATATCCGAAAGTAGCTTCTATTTTAATAATATTGTTTAGCCGTCGGAACAGGGTTCTGACGATAGCTACGAGAGAACATTCAAAGTCCCATTTCTACTGGCTACAAAAGCCGAACTGGTGTACAACGCGAACAAATATATTCCGCGGTATTTAGATTATATCAGTAATTACTAAGTGACCTGGCAACTAGATAGCAATATCGTACACCAGTATCAATGTTGCATGCGATAAGACGGTCTCAACTGAGTTGATAGTTTTGCATCAAGAAATCATCAGTACGCTTTATTAAATAAATTTTTTTGTATCAATAAATATTTTTGTTTTTTGAATTTGTATATTATGGTAACGAAGTGTAAATAAATAAATAAATCTTAAAGATTTTATCTACGACTATTGTCCACGTTCAAAATGTATTTGGTTCTTAAATTAATAAATAAATCAGTGGCGCTACAACCTCTTTAGGTATTGGCTTCAGATTTCTGAATCTGTTTCATGATCATTTTTAAATCTAATAGGCAAGTAGGTGATCAGCCTCCAGTGCCTGACACACGCCGTCGACTTTTTGGGTCTAAGACATGTCGGTTTCCTCACGATGTTTTCCTTCACCGTTCGAGCAAATGTTAAATGCGCACATAGAAAGAAATTCCATTGGTGCACAGCCGGGGATCGAATCTACGACCTTAGGTATGAGAGTCGCACGCTGAAGCCACTAGGCCAACACTGCTCTGTATTTGATTCTTACGGTACCATAGTTCAGCTTCCTCACAAATATTAATTCATTTATCTTCGGTATTTTGTTGTTGAAACTACCTATATACAATATTTAAGATAAAGTTAATTAGTTTTTTTATATGCTATTTAATTTGAGGTGACCTATGATAATGATATACCTACAACATAATTTGTATGTTTCATTTAGATGTTATTGGCGTTTCAATTAAACTTATTGATATTTTATTTTTAATTACACATTAAAGATTTTGTACGAAAATTTTACTTCACAATTTTTTTTAATTCTTACAGTGGTTGCCTGGAATCGCTCGAAAGCGATAACGCCGCCAGTAGTCATTCTTTTTATTTAATTATTCTTTCTTACTGCAAGTGTAAATAAATAAAGATAACTTATAACGATACCATTTATCTTTATTCTATAATTATATTAGGCGGCAAAGTCATTATAAAATTATTGTTTTTTGTAATCTTGTCCTCTCTAAACGCCCGGGATATACATTTAATAACTCGCAAATACCAGCTTTTTCCTGATGAGCAAATTCAGCGAAGGGCTTGTTGAATTGCCAATCCAACGTATTACTGATCGGCTTGATTCTCTCTCTCTACGCAGAGACATTACGTCTCTATAAGTTTTCTACAAAGTGGTCTATGGTGAGTGTTCTGAAGAATTGTTTGGGTTGATCCCTCTTGCCTCGTTTCAACTCCGCACGAGCCGTATCAATTCAAAATTTCATCAGCATCACCTTGATGGCTGGAAGTCTTCCACAGTCCGCTTCACTATCTTTTAAGACACTACTTTCACGAACGTCTACACGTCTTTTGCGAACTAGCGAACTGTGGAATCGATTCTCGTAACTGTTCAAAGTAAGTGTGTACTCCTCAAAGGCCGGCAACGCACCGACTAAAAATGGGTGTCCATAGGCAATGCCTGTACTTTTTGGGCGTCACGTAGGCTCGTTTGC